CACCTTCTAGCCTCTTCTTGCAAGGTGAAGGTAGCCAGTAGCACTTTGTGTGCTTTAGAACACGGAAAGACTTCAAAACAATTTCTCGGTCTCTAGGACCCATGCTTCGGCCTTTAAGGGTTCAAGGCCTCCTTGAAAGGATGGCGGTTTCATCTTGCTAAACTCTGTGTCAGAGCTATTATATTATCATTAATATTCTGTTCCGGTTGAACTGGAGGAGGTGGGGCTGTTGTTCTGTTGTTGTAGCCTCAAGGCCTCCGTCAACATTTCAACTGTTCTTTCTAGCCTTGCCATCTGGCCTCAGATGATTCAGTTTCATCAGTAGTTCTTGCGTTATCCATTTCACTATAGGCAATTATGACAATAATAAACATAGGCAGTTGCATACTTAAACACATTAACACGTATATTCATGTCATGGCCACACATACTTATCAATCTCATGCAATGCCTATTCACTTTTCTAGGACATCCTATAGCTCATTTGGATACGTGTGTGCGGTATAACTCGTGGTTCAATATCGCTTTGATACCACTCTGTTATGACCCAAACCCGCCCCTATGGGTTTGGCACTGTAACCGGCTAGTAATCCGTGATTACAAAGGCCTGCTTATCAGTAAGACAGTAATACAGAGTACAGGGGCTGGCAAAAGCCAATCCGTAATAAAAGATGTTCTAATGAGCTATGACAGTCTGTATGCAAAAATTTTTTTTAACATATTCACATTCAGAACAAAAACAGTGTATACATACATCATTTACAAGCATTTGGGTTAGGGACCAAATCCCCACCATAAAAGTACAGTACAAATATCGTTCAGTCTGTACATACAGAGACAGATAGGGTGAATCTGAGACATCCCAAAAGTAGCCTTAGCTTGAACAGATCTGGAACCTCGAAGTGAGGTACAAAGGTTGGCTTGACAAAAACAAGGGCTTAGCCTGACGCTTCTAGCAAAGGTTTGGTGCCTGAACACCTACATATATATATGAGCAGTGAGCTAAAGCCAATGAATAACATATGCGTAAAGAGGTTAAGAATGAATGTCTTTTCTGTATTGAAAATAGTCATTTATCAGTATATCAGTCATTTCAGTTTGTGGCTCATAATTCATGCCATAACAGTCATTCAAAAACTATAATATCATATGTGGTACATCCAATATCAAAACAGTACAGTAGGTCTTAACAGACCGAGCAATCAGTTGATGGCCATCATATCAGTAAAACAGTAGTGGTTCCAAACATGGGAACCGACAGAGATCTCTGTGACAGTAGCAGTATAAGTACAGTAACAGTAAATTGCTACGGATGTCACGAATACAGTTCACAAATAGGACAAATATTCATTCAGTAAGAAATATCATTTCAGAAAGCGGTACAGTTGCTCATTCAGAAAATATTCATGATTGAACATATCTTTACAACATTGTTACTCACAGAGCACTGGGCTATAAGCAGCTAGAGCGTCCTCGGATGCCAACCCTACAGTTACAGAATGAACACACACTAAGCTACACAGTTGGGAAATAATAACTTAATCCCTAATTTGCCTCGGTGTGGTTCTACATCAATATCCTCATTAAGATGCCTTAAACTAGGCTTAAGAATACCTAGGATGAATGAGGATGCAAAGATGCACTTAAAACATTTTTCAAAATTTGCTGAAACAGGGGTCCACGCTCGAGCGGACATGCAGAACAAAGGAGTCCGCTCGAGCGTGGTTTCCCCCGCTCGAGCGGACTATAAAATCATGCAAAAGTACTAAATGCATGCAATTCACGCTCGACGGTCGCTCGATCCCCGCTCCAACGTGAGACATAAGTCCTCTTCGAGCGTGAATTCCCTCGCTCGAGCGGATTGTAAACATGGGCAAAGTACTGGATACACACATTTCCTGCTCGAGCGTCACTTTCCCGGTCGAGCAGACTGCATGAACATTGGTTTTACGCTCGAGCGTGGAGTTCCTCGCTCGAGCGTGAGTCCAAATTCTGGAAATTCCAGATTGAACCTTTAAGCTCAAAATCAACTTTAAATGTACCAAAATTGATTCTTTTGGACTAATTTTCTGGAAAACACTTGTAAACTCATAATATAACATGTTTTGAAGATCAATTTACAAAATGAAAGCCCAAAGGTAGTTCATTAAACACCATTTTCAAATAAACTTCAAGAACAAGACTCAAATGTAACATGCATGAGCTTATATGAATTTAAAGCTTCAAACACAAGATCAAATGTGCCAATCCTTCAAAAACATGGTGAATTCATGGATTATAACAATAATATGGACATTCATGCAATAATTTCCATGAAAACAACTCTAAACTTCAAGATATGTACATGCATGCATGATTTAAGCCTCAATTCAACAATTTAAGCCAATTCTAGACTCAACTCACTAAACTTCTACGAATCATGCAAGATATAACTCAAATGCAAGCTCAAGAAGATGGTTCTCCTACGTAGACCTTGAATTACAAGTCTAGAAGCTCAAATATGCGAGACTCCTTCAATTTCTCTAAATTTCCGAACAAAACAAGATGAAATCAAGCTTTTCCTCTCTCTCACTCTCTCTAGTCGTTTGCTCTAGGAAATAAGGCTGAAGAAATGGTGCTAAACAATGCTAAAGGTGAGAGAAGTAGTGGCCTAGCATAACCCACTCAATGGCAATTAGGTAAATAAAGCCAACTTATGTAATTTAGTTTATTTAATCCAATTTAATCATACCAAATCAATTTTCAATTAAATATACCATAAAATCACATTAATTCTAATTAACACAAAGCATTAATCAATTTCAGATTCGGCCGCCGATAAGGCCTTCAATTTGCAGTTTAAAACACAAAACATGAACAGATAGAAATGCATTTAAACTAATACACTAAATCAATCAGTTCAGAATTTCAGTCAATCAGTCAGTTAACATGCTTAATCATAGGTTAGCACTAATCAGTGGTGAGGGTTGTCACATGCTTTGATTGGTTATTGTTTGGATGCTAATAAGGACTGCTCTAAATCATAAAACAAGGTGCCTGATTTGTGCAAATTGGTCATCAGGTCATATTAAATTAGAACATATTTAATAAGAAGCTGTGTTTGGATTTTTAGGTGTTTGGACAACTGGACTATGGATTTTATCAATTGCATATGACTAAAAACACCCTTGATTCCAAAAACAGGGTGAAATGATATTTTTTTTTTGGTGCTTGAAACTTGATTTGTAGAGTGATTTGTGGAGGGAAAAAGAAGTGATTGCAAATATGAATGAAAGCTAAGAGTTTTTTTTTTGGCCCTTCCCTTCAATAAAAATTTTCCTTTAAATATTTAGTTTATACTTGAGACTTCAGCTCATTTCCCTCTTTAGTATGTATGGGATTACAAGATATTCTTTTGTTCCTGTGATTACAAGATATCTTTTCCTTTTTTTTTTCTCTTGTTTTTATGTGAAGGGCTACTTTTTTTTTTTCTTTCTTTTTCCTATTTCTTAATCGGAGAATGTTAAGAAGTTGAGATATTCAAAATTGAATTTGAAACTCTCACACTCAGATTTTAGTTGGTTTTCCTGAAGGGAAAGCATTAATTGCTATAATTGAGAAGACCCATAGCAGTAATGAACCCATGCTGATCGGCTTTCCAATTGATACATTTGTTAAGCTTACTCATTTTCGTTGTTTATTTTTTTTCTCAGTTTGACAATGCCATTGTCTATTAAAAAGAGAAACCCCTGTGTGATAGTGTTTGTCCACTATCAATACACCATTACAATAGTTCAATTTTGCAGACAAGTGGAGTGAGATCAACGAGGACGTTAAGCTAGGATAAGTTCTATGGTAATTTCTACTAATACACCATTGTTGAGGGATTTTAATCTCTACTTTGTTCATTCTATTTCATGTGATATTTGTTATCTCTACTTTGTTCGTTGTTATTTATTATTTTGTTATTTCTTCACAATAGGATGGAGTCACTTGCTTGAAGTCAATTTAATTTTTTATTTTTTTAGATTGCTTAGCACTGGCTGGTGTGCATTGTTTACTATTTACTTTAAATTTAGTTTTTTGGTATTGTAGAGTGATGGCTGGTGTGCATTGTTTGTTATATAGATATTTTGAATTCTATTTTTCTGGATTGCAGAGAACTGGCTGGTGTGCTTCATTTGGTGTTTAATAATTTTTTGGTATTGCAAAGCACTGGTTGGTGTGCAATTGTTTATTGTTTATTGTTAATTTTAATTTTTAAATGGCTGGTATTATTTGGTAACGAATGAATAATGAAACAAATATATATACCCGTGCCTAGGGTTGTTATCTTTAATTGAGCTTTGTAGAGTGTGTGGTACCAACCAAATTGCAGAGTGTGGGTTTTAAAAACAATATTTCTTTATATTTCTCAATGTCTTAAGTTTTTTGTATGTTTTTCAATAAATTACATTTGTATTCAACTAATTTTGATCTCAATATTATTTACATCGTGTCATTGCACACGACATACTTTTTATTTTGTACTTTACATACCTCTTTATTCTTCCCTTTGTATTTTGTTTATGTACCTGCTTTTCTCATCTTTATTGTAACCCTCTCTTTGAAATGAATTTTTATATTTTATTATTTGATTTGCTACTAAAATGTTATAAGTTATTTAAGAAGAATAATATTTCTTTATATATTTTTAGTGTCTTTATCAAAAAATTCAAAAAATGATACAAACTCTAAAGTAGGTTGATGTTATAAGTATGTTAGGAGGTTGTTAATTTTGTGTCGATTAATTTTTTTTATGGCAATTATTAAACCTCATTTTGCCTTCTTACAGTTATTTTTTCAAATTTACATAACTAGAGGGCTCGTTTGTTTTGAAGGATAACTCATGGGATTGGACTATTAATCTGAAGGGATTAATAGTCCGTTGTTTGTATGGATTTTTGGTCCGGATTAATAATCCCCTCAGACTATTAATTCGGGATTCATTGGCTTATTGTATCCGGGGGGGGCTGGACAGAATTCATGGGACAATCTATCCCATGGGATTAGCCAGGTTTATTACATCTTTGACCCTATCTCTTTCTTTTAGCTTTTCCCATTTTGCTTTCACTGCAGGAGCTTCATTTCACTGCAGGAGCAGGAGCTTCATTTCATCTTGAATCTTCGATCTGTTGAACCTTTGCATCCGATCTTCATTCAGGTATGAAACTCATTCTATTTATTTTTTGCTGAGCTTCATTCTATTTATTTTTAGCAACTTCATGCTATTTATTTTCAGCAGATTTTTTCCACATTTTCCGATCTTCTATGTATTCCAGATTTTTTTTTCCAGATCGTAACCTTTATCTCTGTTGTTGATTTCTTTGTTTTATTGATTTATGTATCTTTACCTTGGATCTATGGTAGATGGCAAGTATACAAAAGAGAAATCCGTTCAGTTTAGATCTGTAACCTTTCATCTTTTTTTTGCTTTGTTTTTTGTTTATACAAAGAAAATCCATGCTCTGTTTTTTCCCACATTTGATATGCAGCAACACCAGCCATTCTTTGCTCCAAATTCCACATGCTAAACAAATCTAGCATGAGTCCAAGTATAGTGAGAATTAGTGGGTTAGGATTGGTTAATTCTTTGCACAAATCTAAGCCTGAGTCCAAGTTTAGCTTAAAGAATTTTTTTTTTTAATAATAATTTTTGTTATGGCACGGATTGTCCAAATTCAAATATTAAAAAATTTATATTTGATTTTTATTAGGCTCTTTTTTTTTCCCTAATTTTTTATGGTGAGTAAAAAGTTATGCATTTTGTAGTGAGAAAAGTTATGCCATCTTATAATTAATTTTATGAATTTTTGTAATATAATTATGAAAAAATATATCATTTGCATTTTTTTGGGGTGTGTGATTAGGCTATGCTTGGATGTTGGATTTATCAAGTAAAAGGGAAATGTTAGAGAAATGAAATTACTTATACAATTTCAAGATCCAAACACTGCATTAGTGCACCCAAAAAAAAAATGAGATGATGTACAGAAGTAATGATCTCATGGTGGCAAAATACAAATATTGTTAAAAGGACATGGCAAAATGTAATCCATTCTTCCAATTACATATTTCAAATCCACTAGAAAAAGCTCATCTGAATCACAAAAAGAGAGCTAAAACATAATACCCATTTCTCATTTATAAGATACAACAAAAATTAAATAAAAATAACTTTCCTCTTAGAAAATAATTAAGCCTCTAAGCTGTGGCCTGGGGCAACAAAATCAATCTTCTATGTAGTATTTAATTATCAATAGATTCTCTGCAACCAGGCTTTAAAGGTCCATTTTCAGTGTAACAGCTATCATCCTATTATAGTGGTGGCCAAGAAGTTCATTACCTCCCCAATGTAACTGAGAGGGTAATTTTGGTGAAAATTGGGCCGAGCTATGAGATGGACTCTATGGCCCAAAGTACGAAGGACTGGAAAAAAAGGCCGAAAAGTTACTCCGGCCCAAGAGAGATAAAGTTACTCCGGCCCAAGAATTGTAAAGTTACTTCGGTCCGGAAGCAACTTGGAGTTAGGCCGGTCTCAGAGTTAGTCCGGTCATCACGTATTGAGGTTAGAACGGTCAAAACCTTGCTACTCGGTAGCTCGGTATAAACATACCATGGTTTGTACATGAAAGAACCGAGATAGGGAGTGGAAAAGAAAGAACCGAACTAAGGATAGTTCGGCCTACTCTGTGGCTCAGCATAGTCAGTATTATTTCGGTCATGTGGTAGTTCGGCCATGGTAAAAACCATCTCACTTGGTTTAAGCAGTGAGGGGGGTGTTGAAGGAAAGGCGTTATCTTTCAGGAGTATGAATCCTAGGAGGACTCTGCATGGAGAAGTAGAAGTCCTACTAGGATTGTGCCACACGAAACTTATAAAAGCTCACAAACATCACCTTGGAGGAGGTAACACACAACCTTGCTTTCTGAATACACAGAGCTTTTGTCTATTTGTCAAGCTTACTGACTTAGGCATCGGAGAGGTTTCCGGCACACACCCGCTGGCTAGTTCACGTTTGTGTTTTCAGGTGATAAAGCGACGTCGTATGGAGGAGCACGGACTTGATCAACAGGATTATACGAGAAGATTTATTTCTTTCCCGTACAATTGGCGCCGTCTATGGGAAGAACAGACAGGACAAAACCTCTTGATTAAGCTCCTCCTCTTCAGAGACAATGGCGCACATTGAAGAATTGCCACAGTCCGCCATCGACGGACAAACTCCAGATGGGGGCGCAAGGCGTGAAGGACTACCTTCTATCCCTCCCATGGCAGGTTTGGAGCCCCAACGACATAATACCAGGAGGGATACTAGGGGAAGGCGGAATAACAGCCCCCATCGCTCTCATTCGCAAAGTCCTGACAGGCAAAGACGGAGGATTGATCCTCAAGCTCTAGAAGACCGCGTGAAAGAACAAGATGAATTAATAAAAAAGATGGCGGCGGACATGGAAGCTTTGAAGCGCCAGATGAAGGGAAAAGAAGTGGCGACAGGAGAGGGGCGCAAAAACAAGACGCCCCTTCGCCACTCAGAAAATCGGAGTAGGAATACCACACCCTCGCAAGGAGAGAGTAGAAGCCTCAGGACAGGCGATGCTCAATTCTGGTCTTCCAGAACTCGTCACTCCAGGTCTGAGAGGACGAGATTTGAAAAATCATATACTGAAGGAAGCACGTATTGGCCCTCGCATTCGCACCAAACCAGATCTAGACAGACGGAATTACCCAGATCATCCGACTTACGAACCGTGCTCGAAGAGAAAGCACGATGCAAGGAGGATGCCAGGGCGCGGGATCCGCACAAAGTTTCTGCGTTACAGCGGTTGGCTCCTCGGACGCATGGAAGCATCGAGGTTGGAATGCCAATACCGCCTTCTTGAAGCCTTGCTTTTCGGCTCCTTTTGCGCTCTCCTTCAGCTCGGTTATCTCGGTATCTTTCTTCTTTTTGAGCTTCACCAGCTCGCGCAGATACTTATCCTTTAGCACAATGGCAGCCTTCTGCTTTTCTGCTTCGGCCGAACTAACCAGTTCGGCCAGTCGGCCGTTCTCAGCCCGTAGCTCGGCCATTTGCTTTCTGGCCTCCTCTAGCTCGACCGTCTTCGCTTCGGCTTCTGCCACGGCTTGCCTTGTTGTTTTCCTGAGCTCTAACACTTTCCTGTGAGTGATGTTGTTTTTCTGAATGGCCTGACAAAACAAAGACTTCCCTTGAGCTGAAGTGAAAGTTGGAAAAATTAAACAAAAAAACGGACAGAGCTACTTACCAAGATCATGGATTTTGTTGAAGACCGGATGGCCTTCAGTTCGGTGTTTAGTCGCTTTTGGTGGTGCTCCATATCTTTGGGGAGGCACACACTCTTGGCCAGGTTGAAGGCCAACTGGTGATCCTTGTCAGCAACAACCGAGTCAGAATCTTGGATATCTCGGTTGTTGAAGGTAAGTTTTGGTGCCCAGCTAGTGGTAGTTCGGTCAGAAGGCTCCGGTTGGGGGCTCGGTGGCGAACTCGGTGGAAGGGCAGTCTCGTCTTCATCAACCAAGCGTTGTTCAGTTTCGGTAGTCCGGGCGCGCTTGGTTCGGCAGGATGAGGACGGTTGTTGCGTAGAAAGAGCCACCACCGCTTCTTGGGTTTGACTTGATGGTGGTACTTCGGCCCGGTTGGTCTCAGTCAAGAGTGCCCTGACTCTGTTTCTTTTAGCCATTTCTTCTTCGGCAGTTAGTGGAATTAGTCTGATTTGTGGTAAGGTTGGGTCCGTCTCTGGTGCGTCTTCAAGAAGAAAATCAGTCACTCTGGCTTTTCGGCGACCACTGTATCTGTAGGTCGGCTCGAACTTTAGCAATTTGGCCCAACTACGTTCTGGATACCGTAGTGCGGCGCGCAAAGTAGCTAGGTTTGGGTAACTATATAAAGAATGAAGGTGGGCAGAATCTGTGAAAGAAGACAACTGTTAGTTCGGCTGAAAGATTGAAAAACCGAAATACAAAAAAGCAAACAAGAAAACCGAAGTAAGTATACCGGGTTCTCCTTTTTTCCAGTTTATACGTCGGCCAGGAATCTGGGCTTGATGATCCTCAAAGTTCCCAGACACCCAGAAAAAGTCGTCGTCGTTTAAGTCTTTATCCGGTGTGTATTTTATTATCTTCTCTCGGCGGCGACGTATTCTTAAATAGTAGACCCACCCATCTTCTTTTGAACCAATGGAGTACTGGTGGAAGATTTCGGCCAGGCCAAGGTTTAGACCAGCTTGGCGGTTTAGTTCGGCTATCCCTATTATTGTGCGGTATGAATTTGTAGATAGTTGGGTAGGGCATAATCTAGTTTGCCTAAGAAACTCGCAGATTAAAGGTTGGACTGGAAATCGTAGTCCGGTTTCAATAATTGACAAAAGGGTGAAGGGGACAAAGCCTTCATCACCCCAAGGAATAACATCCTTTCCGGCTAAAATCAGGTGAACATCATCAGGTATATGGTAGTCTTTTCTAAATTCGGCTAGGCCGCCCAGAGTGTCTACTAGATACCTATACTTCCCCATTTATTGTATAAATTATTAATAAATTAGTTCGGTCGGAAGAGTGTGCTCGGTAGCTCGGTTAAGCGCGCAGAAGAATGCCTAGGCAATCTAAGTCTGCAAAGTGGAAAACAAAGATATTAAGCACAGATCGCAAACCGTGCTACAAAATCAAAGCAAAGTTAAAAAGTCCTACTTCGGCCTATAGGGATCGGTTCAGCAAAGTGCTTGGTAGCTCGGATTGAGCATAAGGTTCGCGAGATCGATTTTCGTATGAGGCTGGTTATCTCGGTTTGATCTATGGGTTTAGTTACTTCGGTTGAGCCTCTAGGGGCAGCTTTCTGAGTTTGGTTTAGAAACTAAGAAAGCTGGCTTAGACCCAAAGGCTTAGCCCGGTTGAATGCCGGGGTTCCTAGTTTACTGAGTTCAAAACTTCGTTCGGTGAGCTTATCTCGGCTAAAGTGAATTAGGATTTGGTAACTTACTGAAACTACTGTTATTTCTACGAATTCTAGTTCGGTTATTGTCTGAATTGATCTACATATATAGCACAAACAGTCTCCTAGTTTGGTTGGGACAAGGTTCTGGATCAAAAGCTAGTTTTCTACAGGATATATCATATACTCATACGTTCTACTGTTAAAGTTCTTTCCAGTAAAGTACAGGGCAAAGAAAATGGGAAGAATATGTTTTGCAAAAACACACGAAACAAACTACATGGAAGTAAATAAAAGCAAAGAAAGATATATAGATTCCAGTTGCTTACCAAACAAAGACGTAGAAACACTGAAGATGGAAAAATGGCAGCAAAGTCATAGTCTCTTCAAATGCAACGGAAGAATAGCAAGAACACAGGGTGGAAAGAGAAGAGATGTAATAGTAGAGCGGTTAATCCAAAGTATAGAGGGTGTTTTGTGTAAAAGAAGGGACGAAAGAGAAAAAGCGGGAACTGTTCAAATTTTTCGTAGTACGAGGGCGGCGTGACAGCTGCTCCCAGCCTATCAGAGCCTTTCTATGTGTTCTAGTTCGGTTATTGTCTGAATTGGTCTACATATATAGCACAAACAGTCTCCTAGTTCGGTTGGGACAAGATTCTGGATCAAAAGCTAGTTTTCTACAGGATATATCATATACTCATACGTTCTACTGTTAAAGTTCTTTCCAGTAAAGTACAGGGCAAAGCAAATGGAAAGAATATGTTTTGCAAAAACACACGAAACAAACTACATGGAAGTAAATAAAAGCAAAGAAAGATAGATAGATTCCAGTTGCTTACCAAACAAAGACGTAGAAACACTGAAGATGGAAAAATGGCAGCAAAGTCACAGTCTCTTCAAATGCAACGAAAGAACAGCAAGAACACAGGGTGGAGAGAGAAGAGATGTAATAGTAGAGTGGTTAATCCAAAGTATAGAGGGTGTTTTGTGTAAAAGAAGGGACGAAAGAGAAAAAGCGGGAACTGTTCAAATTTTTCGTAGTACGAGGGCGGCGTGACAGCTGCCTCCAGCCTATCAGAGCCTGCCACATGTCATTGGATAGGGAAGCGTTACAGTCGCTGTGGTTGAAGAGACGTTTTGACCGGACAAGCAGAGCCCGGAGAGAAATAAGCTTGGCCGGAAGGCTAAAGAGTTTTTAGCTCGGCTGGATAGGCTAAAGGGTTTTTTTTTTGCTCGGCTGGAAAGGCTTAGGAAAAACTTCAGCTCGGTTGAAAGACTGGTAATCCCAAATCATGCTGTGCAGATGGAATTAATGGGCAATTGAGAGGGTAATTTTTGGTAAAAATTGGGCCGAGCTGTGAAGATGGACTTTATGGCCCAAAGTACGAAGGACAGGATAAAAAGGCCCAATGGAGATGTAAAAGTTACTCCGGTCCAAGAATAAGAAAGTTACTCCGGTTTAAGAGATAAAGTTACTCCGGCCTAGGAAGAAAGTTACTCCGGCCCAAGAATTGTAAAGTTACTCCGGTCCGGAAGCAACTTGGAGTTAGGCTGGTCTCAGAGTTAGTCCGGTCATGACGTATTGAGGTTAGAACGGTCAAAACCTTGCTACTCGGTAGCTCGGTCTAAACATACCATGGTTTGTACATGAAAGAACCGAGATAGGGAGTAGAAAAGAAAGAACCGAACTAAGGATAGTTCGGCCTACTCTGCGGCTCAGCATAGTCAGTATTATTTCGGTCATGTGGTAGTTCGGCCATGGTAAAAGCCATCTCACTTGGTTTAAGCAGTGAGGGGGGTGTTGAAGGATAGGCGTTATCTTTCAGGAGTATGAATCCTAGGGGGACTCTGCATGGAGAAGTAGAAGTCCTACTAGGATTGTGCCACACGAAACTTATAAAAGCTCACAAACATCACCTTGGAGGAGGTAACACACAACTTTGCTTTCTGAATACACAGAGCTTTTGTCTATTTGTCAAGCTTACTGACTTAGGCATCGGAGAGGTTTCTGGCACACACCCGCTGGCTAGTTCACGTTTGTGTTTTCAGGTGGTAAAGCGACGTCGTACGGAGGAGCACGGACTTGATCAACAGGATTATACGAGAAGGTTTATTTCTTTCCCGTACAGTAACCACACAGGCTGCATCAAACCACGAAAAGACCAATAATCTAAAACATTAATTTTGTTTATTTTCCAATAAAATAATCTATTTATTTTCAGCAGCTTCATTCTATTTCTTTTCCGATCTTCTATTTATTCTCCGATCTATTTAGTAAATTGTTTATGATTTGCCGTTATGTTTTCTCCTTTACTTAATTTATTTGTAATTTTAAATATTTTCTTCTATATAGAGATGGATCAGAATATCAATGATTTTGATGATGAGAGTAACGATAAGCTTGAATTATACATAGTGTTACAAGCTGTAATGCAAGAACTACATGCCTTATGCGCCGTAGCTTTTGTTGTCATTGAGGTTGTCTTGAAACGGTATTTATCTGAGTATCGCTATAACCTTATTAGAGAGCCCAATCGATTGCAAAAACAAATGGACTATATTAACCATTTAGTGAGAGAAAGTGACATAACATGTGTTGAACAACTCCGTATGGATCGGCGTGCTTTTATGACCTTGTGCAATATGGTTCATACGATAGGTGGGTTAGGGCATTCAAAATATGTCACTTTAGAAGAGAAGGTGGCCTTTTTCCTCTTCATCTTGGCACAACACTTGAAAATACAAAATGTTAAGTTCAATTTCTATAGGTCTGGAGAGACTGTTAGTCGGTATTTCAATGATGTCTTAAAGATTGTGTTGCGTCTGCAAGCTAATTTACTCGTCACACCAAATCCTACAACTGAAGCAAGCACCGATCCAAGGTGGAATTGCTTCCAGGTAATGGATTTGTAAAAATTTGGTAACACTGCATTACTTTTTTTTAAAATTTCTTTTATTAAATCTTTTTTACCAAAAATAAAAATCATAACTATTATAATGCCTATTGAATTGGTTTGTTTAGAATTGTCTTGGAGCACTCGATGACACCTATATTAAAGTTCGTGTACTTGTGGTTCATCAAGCAAGATATAGGACAAGAAAAGGAGAGATTGCTACTAATGTTTTGGGAGTTTGCTCCCAAGACATGAATTTCATATATGTGTTGCTGGGGTGGGAAGGGTCAGCGGCCGACTCTAGGGTTTTGAGAGATGCAATCAATCGACCCAATGGCTTAAGGATCCCAAATGGCAATACAAAAGTACTTAATTTTTCTTAAATTCATGAATAAAAATTTAATCTAATGCATAACATTCCACGCACAGGTTACTATTACCTAGTGGATGCGGGGTATACGAATGGGAAAGGATTCTTAGCATCTTACCGTGGTCAGCGATACCATTTGTCTGTTTGAAGAGAAGGAGCAATGCCAAATAATTACCAAGAATATTTCAACATGAAACATGCATCAGCCAGGAATATCATAGAAAGGTCTTTTGGAATGTTGAAAATGAGATGAGATGGGCTATACTTCGCAGTGCATCATACTATCCCATTAGAACCCAAAATCGAATTATCACAACATGTTGCTTGTTACACAACTTCATTTGACGAGAGATGGTAGTTGTCCCTCTAGAGGATGATCCAGACTTAGCGGATGCCTTAGAAAATCAACCCCCAATGGGAGATGATTTTATTGAGACTGTTGAGACATCTAACGAGTGGACTGAGTGGCGGGATACATTTGCAATGCAATTGTACAACAATTGGTTGGCTAATGGAAGGGCTGGACAAAGATAGCTTTGTGTTTCTACTTTGCTTTGTTGTTAAACCATTTAAATTTGTGATGTGTCATTGCTATGTACGTTTATGAATAATTGACATTGTGGATGTTGAATTATATTTGCAATGGTTGGTATTATGATATATATATTTGTGAGTTATTTATATTTCATGGTAATGCATATGAAATGTTCAATTATTACTGTAGGCATGGATAATGAGGTATCCAGTTCTCGAAAGAAAAAGAATGACAAGGTTGATTCATTAAAACAAAGGCGAGTATGGAGCCTACGTGAAGAGGATTGTCTAATTTCAGCCTTGTTGTTCATTGTGAATTATGGAATGAAAGTTGACAATTCTTTCAAGGCAGGCTATCTTATGAAATTGGAGAATAAAATAGCAGAGTTGTTACCCGGGATAGATTTACGTGGCTCTCCCCATATTGAATCAAAGATTAAAATATGGAAGAAGCAATACAATTCCGTGTCTGGTATGCTTGCTACTAGTGGGTTTGGATGGAATGATACTGAAAAAAGAATTGACGTAGAGAGTGATAGTGTATGGGAGGCATATGTTCGGGTAAAGTTATCTCCTTTTGTTATTTACGTACTATTTCATATATGTATTTTAACCTTATGTTAAAGATATTAATTGGGATTAGTTGGTCATTGTAGAGGGACAATGATGCAAAACACCTGAGGAACAAAACTTTCCGACATTTCGATGAATGAATTCAAATATTTGGCAAAGATCGAGCTACAGGAGAGTTTGCTGAAGACCCTGCTGATGCAGTTGAGGCTATGAATGCTGAGGAAGATGTGTTGTTGCATGGTCTTGCAGATAATGACACTTTTCTGGAACAAATGGGATTAAATAGTCAGACTGGTGAAGTAATGGACTATTCAAACTCAGCAACTCAACGGCCTTCTGATAGTTCTACCAAAAAGAAAGACAAGAAAAGACCTAGAGCCAATGATGAAGTAGTTGAAGGGCTGACCATGTTTGCTGACAAGTTGGTGGATGTCTTGGGAACAACCAATGATAAACTAGAATTCATTGGAAAAAGAATGGGGTATTCACATGATCTTGCATCTAAACGGGCATCACTAAACGATGAACTTACGAAGTTGCCAATTACTGTACATGAAAGGTTAGATGCTTGTGAAATTATATCCCATGATGTCCAAAAGCTTGACATGTTCTTCAGCTTGACACATGATGATAGGCTAAGGTGGGTGATGAGGATGCTAAGTAAGCATGCTCCATAATAAACTTGTTGCATTTCATTGGAGTATTTTCTTTTTGGCCATGATTTGATATGCATGGTAGGGAATGTTTTTTGTTAAGTCTATTATAAACTTGTTGATAGACTTAATTATTGCTTCTTTTGTGTATAAGCACCCGTATTTTGTTAACTATAATTGGGATGCTTTTTATATATTGTTTTTGTGGTTGGCTTTGTATAGTATCTTTTCTTTAGACTTCGGATCATAATAGAAATTATGAAGTGTCCTTATTAGCTCTTTTCCTTTATGGTGTTTATATTGCCACCTGATTGAATACTTGAATAATTGAAATTGTATATATTGCCTTTATGGTGTTTATAATTGAATAATTGAAATTGAAATTGTATACATTTTATGGTGTTTAATTGAAATTGTATATATTGTCTTTCTGTGGTTGGCTTTGTTTTGTGTTTCCAGATTTCTGGTTATGACAAAGCAAAAAAATTCTGATAATAACATGACACAGCAATATATATCACAATTTTTTTTATGTAAGGGTGTTTACAAATTGTGCTTTCAGATTTTTTTGCTTTGAGGTTATCATTTGATTTTTTATGATAATAAAATTTTGATTTTTTATATCAAGGGTTGTGATATATATTCTTTTTATACAAAAATCTAGCTACACTAAAAATCTAGCTAGATGTTTAGTTGAACACTTGAAAAAATTGGCATGACAAGGTAGAATTAGGCATGAAGTCAAAAAAATCTATGACGCATGAAGTCAAGAACTTTGTCATGTTATTATCACAATTGCTACCTTGTCCTGATCTACTAGAATTAGGCATGAAGTCAAAAAAATTTCATATTTGGTGCATTCATGGTATTAATTATACTTAATAAAGTAAAAAAAAAAATTAAAAGTCTCAATTACAAATTAAAATAAATTTATGTAATATTTATTAATATTTTATAAGTTCTAGTAAACAAATTAAATAAAATTTATAATTCAGATTTAATATTCTTATTATTTAGTAAATAATTCAAAAGGGCAAATAGTCTTTTGAACATTTATCATTCTCTATAATATCCCAAACAAATATGGGATTCACTAGAATAGTCCAATCCAGACCTCTAATCCCATGACTAAACAAACATAGGATTCAAATCCAATCCGACCAAATAGTCCAGGGACAATGTATCCCAGGACTAACAGTCCGATAGATTACAATCCCCCCTTATCTACTCCGTCCAAACAAACGCACCCTTTCAGGTTGAGACACTCTTGACCTTTAACTTCTAATTATGGACAACATTACTATTTTTGGTCACGTAAGTTGTTTTATTTTTAATTTATTTGAAAAAAAAATACACTTTTCTCATAAGTCTAAGTCAATTTTCTTTTCTTTTCATTATTTTTTATCTAATTTCCTTATAACAAAATGCTATTTTCTTATATTTTACAGATGGATGGAGGCCTACGTCAAACTATAATATCGACTCCTTTTACTCATTTTCTTACATGCATACATTTTTTAATTTTTTTTTGCCTCTAATTCTTTTGTATTTATAGGTTCAATTTCTTGAAGAAAGAAATGCTAATGTTGTCATCCGTGATGAGCATGACTTTAATGTCATCCGGGTTCGAGAGGTAGATCCAATTTAATTATATAGAAATTTTTTTTAAATGCTGTATTTTTTAAACTTTCTAAATATATATATTTTTATTGCGCACACTAGTGTTTAGTCATAGACAACTGTATGCGACCCTATCTAGATGCACATCTTTTGTTCGTACAAGTGTCTTCCTTCCCAACAATGAGCTAGATTCTATTACAAACATTGTTTATCCTAAAATTTTGTTATAGTGTTACTTATGGATCAAATCACTTTTGTCAAAAGGTACAATTTATTTATTGACAAATTTGTTTCTATTGATTACAAATTATTATTTTAAATTTTTTTTGCTATATATGTTGACTTTTGTAGGATTGGGTTAAAAAATATATGGACCTCAAAAAGATAAATACAATTAGATTGCTTCAATGGGGATGTAACAAGGTAATTTCAATTTAAATGTGTTTTGATATTTATATTGATTTTCTTCTACTAATAAACTAGCTTTTTTATTTTCATAAATTACTAGATTGTCGTGCATGCTTCTCATTGGGGATATATAGAAGTTGAAACAAATACTTTTTGGAAAGTGATGAGGCGCTCTTAGGAATTCTAAGAAAGAACAAGTTTGAAGATCATATTTATTTTTGTGAAAAGCGTACATATGATAGTTACGATCTAGATTTTGTAAAGTTTCATATCGATGTAAATTTTAGTTTGTAAAGCCTTTTATCTATGTGCAATTTATAACTAATTTTAGATGTATGTTTTATAATATTCATTTCAACTATTCACTTGGTGTTATAGTCTTTTTTTTTTTCTTTTTTTTTCCCTAATATGCTCTTGAATTAGCTTAAAAAAACTTCATATTTTTTTCGGTTGAATTTTATTATTGGGGATATATAGAAGTTGAAACAAATACTTTTTGGAAAGTGATGAGGCGCTCTTAGGAATTCTAAGAAAGAACAAGTTTGAAGATCATATTTATTTTTGTGAAAAGCGTACATATGATAGTTACGATCTAGATTTTGTAAAGTTTCATATCGATGTAAATTTTAGTTTGTAAAGCCTTTTATCTATGTGCAATTTATAACTAAGTTTAGATGTATGTTATATAATATTCATTTCAACTATTCACTTGGTGTTATAGTCTTTTTTTTTTCTTTTTTTTTTTCCTAATATGCTCTTGAATTAGCTTAAAAAAACGTCATATTTTTTTCGGTTGAATTTGATTTTTTGCTTCCATGTATATTTTTATCAGGAAGGGTGTTGCTTTTAATATAGGATTGGATTGTGTACGTATTAATCTTTTAAAATAATTGTTTATTGCACAATTTTTTATAACTTTTTTTTGAATTGCAACGTACGGCTGGTGTGCTTAATTTGTCATTTTTTTTTTCTATTGTGGAGCACTGATTGGCCTGCTTAATTTGTTATTTGTCTTTTTTTGTATTATAGAATATTAGTTAATGTGCTTAATTTGTTATTTGGCATTTTCTTTATATTGTAGAGCTCTGAGGGGGGTATTTCGTTTGATTTTTATTATATGTTTGTGTTGTGGGACTTACATTTTATTGTTTGCTTAAAATCATAAAATCATTCCAATTACATTTTCATTCTAATAATATTTTCACTGTGCCTTCAGGCACGGGCATACCCTAGTATATATATATATAGGCAGTGGCTTTGATCCAGTTCAAGATCGGACTGGACCGTGCTGTTGGGCCCGTGGGGGCCCACCACGGATCCCGTTTTGATAATCCGAACTGTTCAATGTGTAGAACTCGTCGAGTACTATATGCCTGTAAAAAATCATATTGATTGGATATCGATAGCTATGTGAACAAAACAGTTTTTTATCAACCGTTTTGTTTCACCGTACATTTTTTTTATACAAAATTGATTTGATCACATAGCTATTGATATCCGATCAACGTGAGTTTTTACAGGCATGTAGTACTCGACGAGTTTTATATATTGAACGATTCGGATTATCAAAACAGGCCTAAAAAATGGGCCCCATGGACCGAACTGGACGGGTCCAGTCTTGATCTCAACTTGAGACAAGCTAGACCCATATATATATATATATATATATATATATATGTATATGAGATAGATGTTATATACAAGTCTCATATCATGTAGGACCCATTTCATAGGCTCCCCATATAGGTATTCGACATGATGTGATCTACATATAGGACCTATTCTATAGGGTCTTTTGGGAAGCAAAAAAAAAGGTCAGTTTTTAACTTTTTATTCATTTTGAGTCATATCACTTTTCACAATTTTTATCCACAAAAAGACAAAATAAATTAAAAAAAGTAAAAAAAATTAACTTTTTACCAACTTTTCAAAACACCACTTTTATGTATCTCATTCTATGTGGGTGTTTGGGAAGTGAGTTTTTTTGTAGGTTTTTTTAGTTGTAGGATATTATTGGAGAAATTTTTTTTTGTATTTGAGAAGATAGTTGGGTTTTTCTGTGGTTGGATATGATGTTTGTGAGAGAAAAAGTGAAATGATTATGGGGTTTGATGTGATATTTTGTTTGGATTGATTTTTTTTGATTTTGTAAAACATTTGTCTTATAGTGAAAAAAAACAAAAAAAAAAAACCCAAAAACCTAGTTGTCAAACACCGCTAGTATTTATGTTCTTGGAATAGACTCATCTCATATCTACCCCATATAATATGAGACTTACATGTAGGATCCCTTCTATATATGTGTCACATTTTTATTTAGGGGTGGTGTAAAATGATTTAAATAAGTGTATTTTTTTTTATATTTTTAAATTTTTTAAAACATTTTGTCAATTACCAAACGCGTTTGTAGTTTATGTTTTTCTAAAAATAAACAAAAAATAAATAAAAACCAGTTTATAGAATTTTTGCAAATATAAACTGAAAACGTAAACGTTACCAAACAGACCCTAATTGTTTCACCGTACATTTTTTTTATACAAAATTGATTTGATCACATAGCTATTGATATCCGATCAACGTGATTTTTTACAGGCATGTAGTACTCGACGAGTTTTATACATTGAACGATTCGGATTATCAAAACAGGCCTAAAAAATGGGTCCCATGAACCGAATTGGACGGGTCCAGTCTTGATCTCAACTTGAGACAAGCTGGACCCATATATATATATATATGTATGTATATGAGATAGATGTTATATACAAGTCTCATATCATGTTGGACCCATTTCATAGGCTCCCCGTATAGGTATTCGACATGATGTGATCTACATATAGGACCTATTCTATAGGGTCTTTTTGGAAGCAAAAAAAAAGGTCAGTTTTTAACTTTTTATTCATTTTGAGTCATATCACTTTTCACAATTTTTATCCATAAAAAGACAAAATAAATTAAAAAAAGTAAAAAAATTAACTTTTTACCAACTTTTCAAAACACCACTATTTATGTATCTCATTCTATGTGGGTGTTTGGAAAGTGAGTTTTTTTGTAGGTTTTTTTAGTTGTAAGATATTATTGGAGAATTTTTTTTTTTGTATTTGAGAAGATAGTTTGGTTTTTTTGTGGTTGGATATGATGTTTGTGAGAGAAAAAGTGAAATGATTATGGGGTTTGATGTGATATTTTGTTTGGATTGATTTTTTTTTTGATTTTGTAAAACATTTGTCTTATAGTGAAAAAAAACAAAAAAAAAAAACCCAAAAACCTAGTTGTCAAACACCGCTAGTATTTATGTTCTTGGAATAGACTCATCTCATATCTACCCCATATAATATGAGACTTACATGTAGGATCCCTTCTATATATGTGTCACATTTTTATTTAGGGGTGGTGTAAAATGATTTAAATAAGTGTATTTTTTAACTTTTTATGAAATATGGGCTGTGTATGAGTTGAGTTTGTAGTGATGTGGTAGAGAGGTAATGTGACTTAAATAAGATAATATGACTTAAATAGGATAATAACTTTTTGACTTTTTTAAGTTATGACAAATAAGGCGTTAGTGTCTGTGCTCCTATTATTACTCGGATTAGTGTAATTTTATTTTATTTATTTATTTATTATTATTTTTTTAAATTTTAAGACAGAAGGGTTATTAAATGGAGGAGTAACTGATGTGAACAAGAGTACACACATATGATATGCTTCAAGTTTGAACAAAGAGACATGAAGGAGGGAAAAAGCATAACGACGAAGAAGAGCTTTGGCTTAAACCCGAGAGAGAGAGAGAGAGAGAGAGAGAGATGGCCTGGGCGTATTGAATTGAAGTAGCACAACGATGTCTTCGCTGGTCACCTTACAATTGAGTGTGGATGGGGTTGCCTGTATTGGAATGCAATTATGGTCTCGATTCCAAAGCACCCAGATTATAAGAATCCCTACCTTCAATCACTTTTCCTTACAAAACCATCTGTACACTGGGTTAGAGAGAGAAACACACACACAGATAGTGTGTGTGAGAGAGAGAGAGAGGCAGAGAGTACTGCAATTGAAGGACAAGAGCTCTTTTTGAATTCTTCTCGCTTCAATTCTATTCTTTCTGGTATAATCTCTTATACCCATTTGTTTTTCTTTATTTTGTGTGAAGCTTTCGGATTATAATCTAGTTTGATTGCTTAATTTCATGTTTCAGTGATCCTTTTCAATTCCTTTGATTTTAAAACCCTTTTATTTTAATTGAAAACTTGTATCTATGGTTGTTGTTTATTCAGTGTTTTTTCATATCTGTGATTGTTCATTTTCAATCAATCTATTTAAATCTTCCTTTTTTTGGGTTTCTGTTTTTTTTCTTACTTGTTGATGTTTTTATTTATTTATTTATTTAATATATTTTTTTTAAAGGTGTTCAGATGGCATGAATTGATTAAAACATGAATCGTAGATGATTTCTTTCTATCTCTAATGGAGAAGTAATTTTGAAATGTTACATTTTCTTTTTTTCTCTTAGCATTTTTCTTGATGATCAGCCATTTTCTATGGCCATTCTTATATCCAAAATCTGTAAAATATTTTTTCAATCAATCTATTTAAATCTTCCTTTTTTTGGGTTTCTGTTTTTTTTCTTACTTGTTGATGTTTTTATTTATTTATTTATTTAATATATTTTTTTTAAAGGTGTTCAGATGGCATGAATTGATTAAAACATGAATCGTAGATGATTTCTTTCTATCTCTAATAGAGAAGTAATTTTGAAATGTTACATTTTCTTTTTTTCTCTTAGCATTTTTCTTGATGATCAGCCATTTTCTGTGGCCATTCTTATATCCAAAATCTGTAAAATATTTATTAAAAAAATAAAACCCAGCTTTTGCCCCCCCTCCCATCCCTCTTAATCATTGCAAACTTGTCTCATGTGCAGACTCCTTGTTTGCTTGACTTAAATCTTCTTTAAAATATATGTATATATATATAGAGAGAGAGATTAATTTATGCATGTGTCAATCTTCAAGCCTATTAATTGAAAATCACACATATACACTTAATTTGATGATTTAGTAGGATGCCTTAATCTTCAAGTTTGGAATTCCAAAGATTAATAATACAAACATTTATGTCTTTGTGACAGGCACATATTTTTCTTTTGTCACATCTTTATTTTCTCTCTTTATTAATCAACCATAGGTAACTAATTTTCGAGTAGGTAAACTGAACATCTCACATGTTTAACCAAGTATGCATCAATTCATTACTTTCCATCTTGTTGAGGGCCTGTGCACCTCTGGAGACTAGTCGGGCTTTGATCCGGACACTCAGTGCCAATTAAAAAAAGAAAAAAAAAAAAGTTGATTGACAGATTTTTAAAATTTGCTGGATTTTTTCTTTGATGATTTATTCGCCTTGCAAGCATAAGGCGCCCACTTCTCATTTAAATTTTTATTTTTCTATATTCAAGATTAGATCATTGAAAATAAAGAGGAAGGCCATGACTTTTTAAAACTTCTACTTTTGTTTGTGTGGTTGGGTGAGTGTACATGCTAATGCATCAAATAATGGTTGATCACTCAATGAATAATTTATGATTGTAGACGTGAACCATTACATGCATCAAGGAATCAATTCCCTTATATTCATATGGCTTTGAGTGTGTCCATGTCCAACAGGTGTCGGACACCAATACATAGGTGACCATGAAGAGGTGTCTGTGCTTCATAGTCGAGAAACAGCATGAGAGACCTAGCCTACAAAAAGAAATACTCTCACAACTCGAGAGGTTAGGTCAAAACTCGCAAAACACAAGACTCACAAAGTAAAGACAACCTCTCACAACTTGAGAGGCTAGGGACATAAACACACAAACCCTGCGTCCTTGTTTTGAGATATATGTTTGCTAGAAAGCTTTTGGCGGCTTTTCTTTGGGTTCAATAGAAAAATTTACCCCCACTTTCTCATGGGAAACTTTTAGGCTATAAATTTTCTCTACAAGCTTCCTTTTATTTTCAATCCCTAGATGTGGAAGTAGTGTGCATATTCTCATGAGCTCCAAGAACTCTCAATGGATTACTCACAATTTCCCCCTCACCAACCTCACTTAGCTTTGGCTCGCATAAGGCATGACAATCCTTCCACTCATCAATTCCTAGAAGGAACACTACACAATCATTCTGTACATTGAAGAAACTAAAGATGAACCTATTATCTCATTATTTACTTCCCTTTTGAAATGGCACCTTAAGAGTACTATTATTAACAATAATAATTAGCATGACCTAACTAGCTTTATATTTATCTTATTTGTTGTTTGTTGTGAAGCCTTTCCCTTATTGTTGTCGTTTATGTTATTCTTTTCTTTTTTATGGCTGTCCTTAAATTTGATTAACCAAACGTGTAGTGAATGTGTCAATCTTTAAGTTTGTAACAAGAATTATAGATGCTTAGCCATGCATGTATAAATGATTGGCTGTTTGCATTGGCGTGTCCCTGTATTTGTGCATGCATAATGGGTTAAGTGGCTGATTTTTCAGACTAACTAGGTGACCTTGGTGATCTAGTGAGACTATAACAGTCCATTGGCTTCCGTATAATGTTTCATTTAAAACTTTTAATTTGTTTCATGAATCGTTTCCTTGAAGATTCTAGGATTTGTACAATGGTTTTTATGGTAAAATCTTTGGCATTATTTAGGAAAGACAGTTCTCAATATAGATATTAGATGGTTCATGAGCAATTCTAAATCTATGCATGATGATTGGAGAAAAATTTGAAAGTACTTGGGGGAGCTAAAACTTGTTATTGTATTGTAGTTCAACGGATGAATGATTTTTGATAGTCACAGAGTTGTTCTTCATTTCTCATTTTCCTCGTTCCTTTTATTTTTCTAATCATTTCACATGTGTTCCAATATCGAAGTTTGAGTTTTGTAAATGGTGGATGCTCTCATATCTTTTATTGATAGTTAAAAGGCCATGCATATATATTGTTGCTGGTTGTAAAGCCTTTCAAATTAGATGGTTGATACTAGTATTATATTAAAAGTTTTTCCTTTGATCATAACTGCCTCTCTCTCATTCTCTCCCTTTTTTTTTCTGTGTAGATCTTGTTTGTTTTATTTATTTATTTTTTAAAGTTAAATGATGCATGCTGTTCATTGTTATTATATTATTGGTAACTAAAAGATTTTTTTGGAAACTCATAGTTGATTAATATACTTGTTATATATTTTAGTATTTAATTGCTATTATTCTTGCACATTGCTAAACATGTTACATGTTGCAGAAGAAAATTACTATAGATCCATTACTAATTCTGGTGGCTTGATTTAAACTTCAGTGGGAACATAAATTAGCCTTTATGGAACGTAAAAGCCACTCCTCCAATTTTTATTATTCCCTAAACCAGTCTTCAAGGTTAGAAGAAAATATGGAAACCTTCAAAAGAAACACTTGCCAGAGAACTAATCCAGGAGCTAAACAAAACATTCAATTCTCAAGCACGTCTTCCTCTTCGAATGTTGGTAGCACTTCACAGTTCTTCCATACTTCTTATTGGATGTCTTCCAGCTCTGGCAGTGCTTCATCTATTCCTCCAATTGGAAGTGATGCACTGTGGCAAGAAGACAACTGGAGATATATTGCTAGAAGCATCTGTGCAGAGTGTGCTAGTTCCTAATCCTAAGATGGGTATTATAAGCCAAAATGTAATGGCTTCAAGTGCCTTTCCTGTATACTACAGTTCTCAGAATGGCTTTGCTGGTGCTATCCGTCTACTACTCCTAGGTTTCCTCCAATGAATTTGGTCGAAGAATATGAAGAGGGGCTGTCAAATTTTCTTCAGCCGGCCATTCTAAGCCCTGTAGATTCGATGATGAAAGTAGAAGGACATAATGCTGCTGTCCCTTCAATTGTGCCTGCATTGGAGCAATTCAGTGCTAAGAGAGCTCTATTGGTACTTGAAATTTATTTATTCCCTTCCTTATGGATGATGTTCTTACTATGTTGTTTGAACTTTTGTTGATGCATCTCATAAACCACGATTTTCGTTTCAGTTCATGCATTTCTCTTATTGAATCTTTTATGGGATTATTATAGTTAAAACATTAATCAATTATTTATCAAGAAGTCTACTTAATGAAAATATTTTGTTTTGAAGTCTGTATAGAAATTTATTTGTAGATTGTAAAAAAAAATATTAGTAAAAGTCATTTTTGTCCATATCCTGAGTTTCTCACTAAGTCAAGACAATGCTGCAACTCTCTTCTCTCTTTCTGAGTCTTAGCCCCCTCCATTCTTGTTGATCCAATCACTCCATCATATCACTTATTCAAGGAGCTGTATTTACTAAAGCTAGATCTTGACTAAAATTTTCAGACCTTTATAAGTTAGACCCACTGAATTTGGAAGCTCAATAGTATATTGCTTTTCTTTTCTATCTTTATAATATATTGCTTTTCCCTTCTAACAATTTTCACCAGCTCTCCAGTCAGAGCTCTAAATATCTTTGTTTTGCCATAAGCAGGCTACCTGGGAAATCCTACAAGAGGTTGATGGCATGGCCTTGCAATATGAGGTTCGATCTTTTGCTAGGTTTATTTTATACTTCGATTATCAGGCTTGTGCTTGCTTTGGGAAATGGATAGAAACTTGATTAAGTTGCCATGTCCATGTATTCCAAATATAAAAATAATATTTTGTGCTATACACTGGAACAACTATTTTCTACAACATTGTTCAATACTATTGTATATCTTGACTAGTAAAGCGTACACAATAATGTTTCTCACACGTTTTGATTTCATTCATGTATAATATATGGCTTGCTTGGATGGTGGTATGCTAGGATGATGTGACTGTTGGCCCAATGTTTTGAGTCTGATATGCATGGAGATATGCATTTCAATGTGGATAACATATCTTATAAGGTAACACTTTAGGAATTGAAGTAAATGATAATCTAGACTTTTTTGGCATTCTTTTCCTCATTATCATTAAAGATTTCCTAGAGGAAGAACCAAGCTAACATTCAAAGGTAGAGAAATTTTGAGCCCTCTAGTCGTTAGGGTCAGTTAACGGGAACAAGGCATGGAAGCAGGTGGCTGGAGACCAGTGGTACGCAAGCATGGAGGTATAGGGAATAAACATCAGAGGGGGGATTCAGGCATCCATACGGTTTTTGTGGATAATTTACCAGAGTCAATGGACCCAAAAGGGTTGTATACTTTGTTCACTCACTTCGGAGTGGTGCAGGACGTTTTTATACCACATAAAAGAAGGAAGATGACGCACTCCAGGTTTGGATTCGTGAGATATTACTGCTCAATCACAGCAAACATGGCAGTCCAGAAAGTAACTGGATTGTGGTGTGACAGCAGAGCCTTAACAATGAAAGTTGCAGAGTTTGTTCGTCGTGTTGAAGCACATAAAAGGCCTTTACAGAGTTCAATCCAAAGAAAGGAAATGGGAGGTACGGGAACGGTGTCTTGGAAGCTAAAAGGTAAAGAATCCTTTGCCCAGGTAGTAAGTGGGAAAGGGTCATTCACTAATGCAACTTTAACTGTAAAAGTTTATGAAGTAGGGAATGGATGGTTGCACACCAGTGCCATTGTGCGATTAAAGCTGCTGTACTGTGGGGCAGATTTCAAAACAGAGTTGAGGTCTAGAGGCATGGAGGATATTGAGGTTCGAGAAGGAGGGAGTAGAGACATAGTTCTATCCTTTCCATCGGTGGAAAACATGCGTGAAAAACTCAAGCTAATGGAGGTTTGGGTTAAGGATTGGGCTGAATCGGTTACAGAATGGAAACAGGGGATGTCCATTACACAAGAAAGAGATGTCTGTTTGAGCTGTTATGGGATGCCCCTAAACGTTTGGAATAACAACACCTTCTATTCAATAGGCAGATTATGGGGGGAAGTGACTGGTCTTGCTGATGATACATCCAATATGGAAAACCTGATTTGCGGCAAGGTTCGAATAGTCACCAAGTGCATGGAATCCATCAATAAAACAATCAATTTGGATTGCAAAGGGGTACTTTATCCGATAAAAGTTTGCGAAGATCAGATTGTTACTGCGAAGGTGGTGAATAAACACTGTATTTGCCATCATCAACATGGTGTTAGTGTCAATCATAGCTCTTATGGGGATGAGGTTACGCAGAGGGTGGAAGCAGAGAGTAAGCAAGAAAATGGTGATGATGACGTGGAGGCACTAGCAGGCAATGAGGTGGACAATGATGGAGACGTAGCAGTAACGTGTAGTGACCCAAGAAATGATGATTGTAATGGCAGGGAAGGGGAGGCTAGCTGTAAGAGCATCTCTGTGGTGGCTCAAACTGTCAGCGGCATGGAGAAAGCAATTTCTGGGGGCACATGTGGGAGTAGGGAGGTAGCTCTGGTGATGAGCTCAATCAACGTTCAAAATGGGGTGAATAGGCCTGTTGATGGTGATTTTAGTAACCCAGGCCTCTTAAAAAGTCTAAGTGGATCTGATTTATTAAGGCTTGGGCTCAACATTGAGGTTGTCTTGACTAAAGCCCATGAACTAAATGATGTGGAAACCCAAACCCACAAACCATCTGGAACTAAAACAGTGGAGGCCCAAACTGACTTAGAAGACTCTATTCAACCTTGTAGTGTTGAAGAACCAATAGCCCGAAATGGAAGAGACGTCAGAAGCGAGATTTTGGGTTCTTCTGCAGAATCAATTCAGAAGAGAGTAGCCATCTAGAGGGTGCAAAATCATGATCTCCCTAGCAATCATCATAAGAAAAAAGGTAGTCTCCAAAGGGACAAATCAATGGTGGGAACCTCTCTAAATTTGAAGAAAGGCACAGTGTTTCGGTCGGCGGTAGCAGCCCTCTCACTCTCAGCGGCATTTGAAGCAAATAGTAGGAGATTATTACTCACTAAGGCTGAAGCATCACTCCAAATTAGGCGTACTCTTGGTGTGAACTGTGAAGGGAATGACGATGTTGTCCTCAACAAACTAATAAATTTGGATGTCAATGACAAAGAAAAAATGAGGATTAGGGGTGGGGATGCTTGTTAAGCAGCTGCCCCGGGGGTTTTAAGAGTTGAAAAATGTTCTTTTTATGAAGCTTATCTCTTGGAATGTAAGAGGGTTAGGAAGGCCTGGGAAAATGAGGAAGATTAAACAAGTGTTCTGTGAAAGAAGGGTTGATATGGTTCTTCTACAAGAAACTAAGATATCCACAATTGATGAAAAATTTGTTAGATCAATCTGGGGCAGAGATCAAATAGATTTCATGGCAGTTGATTTAGCAGGAGCTACTGGTGGCTTATTATACATCTGGAACCCAGAAGTATTTCAACTGGTTGATTGCTGCAGCAACAGGAACTTCATAATTTTATCAGGTACTCTCTATAACAGTTTTGAGTGTGTGATTTTAAATATTTATGGGCCGAATGATATGGGGAGGAGAAAGGCGGTGTGGGATAGCTTGGTTCAATTAAAGTTGGTATACGATAAACCTTGGTGCTTGGAAGGGGACTTCAATGAGATCAGGAGTATATCAGAAAAGAAGGGGAGTTCTAGGCGAGATAAAGGTATGAGGGAGTTTAATGAGTTAATTGATAATCTTGAAGTGGCCGATTTACCAATGAGGGGAAGAAAATTTACTTGGTGCAATTCTCAGGAGGGGGAGAAGTGGAGCTGAATTGACAGGTTTTTGCTTAATCCAGAATGGCTACAAATGTTTAATTTTAAGCTTTGGGGGCTGCCCCGGAAGGTCTTAGATCACTGTCCTATTTTGTTGATGGAGGATGAGAGAGATTGGGGTCTGTCACGACCCAAACCCGGCCCTATGGGTTTAGCACCGTAACCGGCCAGTAATCCGAGATTACCGAAGGCCTGCAGGACAGTAATACAGTAAAACAGAGTACAGGGCCTGGCGGAAGCCAATACAGTAAAGAAACAATGCCCAATGAGCTGTGACAGTCTGTATGCCAAAAGATTTTTCATACATTCATACATAAACAGTACAGAACAGTATGCACAATATTTACATTCATTCAAACTAAGGACTCAACCCTACACAACAGTACAGAAAATATTCAGTCTATACAGAACAGTAAGACAGTACAGAAGGGGAATTCCTGAAACACCCCTAAGCCTTAGTAGATAGGCTCGGAACCTCGCAGTGAGGCACATAGGCTGGCTTGACAAAACTGGAGTCTAACCCACGCTCTTAGCTCTGGTCTGGTGGCTGAGCACCTACATATATATATAAACAGTGAGCTAAAGCCCAGTGAATAACATAATGCGTAAAGAGGTTATGAAGGTAGCTCTGGTGATGAGCTCAATCAACGTTCAAAATGGGGTGAATAGGCCTGTTGATGGTGATTTTAGTAACCCAGGCCTCTTAAAAAGTCTAAGTGGATCTGATTTATTAAGGCTTGGGCTCAACATTGAGGTTGTCTTGACTAAAGCCCATGAACTAAATGATGTGGAAACCCAAACCCACAAACCACCTGGAACTAAAACAGTGGAGGCCCAAACTGACTTAGAAGACTCTATTCAACCTTGTAGTGTTGAAGAACCAATAGCCCGAAATGAAAGAGACGTCAGAAGCGAGATTTTGGGTTCTTCTGCAGAATCAATTCAGAAGAGGGTAGCCATCTAGAGGGTGCAAAATCATGATCTCCCTAATAATCATCATAAGAAAAAAGGTAGTCTCCAAAGGGACAAATCAATGGTGGGAACCTCTCTAAATTTGAAGAAAGGCGCAGTGTTTCGGTCGGCGGTAGCAGCCCTCTCACTCTCAGCGGCATTTGAAGCAAACAGTAGGAGATTATTACTCACTAAGGCTGAAGCATCACTCCAAATTGGGCGTACTCTTGGTGTGAACTGTGAAGGGAATAACGATGTTGTCCTCAACAAACTAATAGATTTGGAAGTCAATGACAAAGAAAAAATGAGGATTAGGGGTGGGGATGCTTGTTAAGCAGCTGCCCCGGGGGTTTTAGGCGTTGAAAAATGTTCTTTTTATGAAGCTTATCTTTTGGAATGTAAGAGGGTTAAGAAGGCCTGGGAAAATGAGGAAGATTAAACAAGTGTTCTGTGAAAGAAGGGTTGATATGGTTCTACTACAAGAAACTAAGATATCCACAATTGATGAAAAATTTGTTAGATCAATCTGGGGCAGAGATCAAATGGATTTCATGGCAGTTGATTCGCTGGAGCTGCTGGTGGCCTACTATGCATCTGGAACCCAGAAGTATTTCAACTGGCTGATTGCTGCAGCAACAGGAACTTCATAATTTTATCAGGTACTCTCTATAACAGTTTTGAGTGTGTGATTTTAAATATTTATGGGCCGAATGATATGGGGAGGAGAAAGGCGGTGTGGGATAGCTTGGTTCAATTAAAGTTGGTATACGATAAACCTTGGTGCTTGGGAGGGGACTTCAATGAGATCATGAGTATATCAGAAAAGAAGGGGAGTTCAAGGCGAGATAAAGGTATGAGGGAGTTTAATGAGTTAATTGATAATCTTGAAGTGGCCGATTTACCAATGAGGGGAAGAAAATTTACTTGGTGTAATTCTCAGGAGGGGGAGAAGTGGAGCCGAATTGACAGGTTTTTGCTTAATCCAGAATGGCTACAAATGTTTAATTTTAAGCTTTGGGGGCTGCTCTGGAAGGTCTTAGATCACTGTCCTATTTTGTTGATGGAGGATGAGAGAGATTGGGGTCCAACTCCTTTTCGATTTCTAAATGCTTGGACCCTACATCCAAAGTTCAGATCTTTTGTGGAAAATACGTGGTTAGAAGCCAATGTGGTGGGATGGGTTGGTTTCAAATGTCTTCAGAAGCTCAAAATACTAAAACTGGCTTTGAAACAGTGGGCTAAAGAAGTCTTTGGTGATGTGGAGCATAAACTTAAACAAGTTGAAGAGGAGATTCATGCACTTGATTTAAGTGCTGAAGAAAGACCATTATCTATGGCAGAGCAAGCTAGCAGAAGAGAGGCTAAAGGTGTAGCTTGGAAACTAAGTAAAATGGTGGAATGGACATGGATACAAAAATTCAGAATGAAGTGGTCAACATAAGGGGATAGGAACACAATTTTTTTTCACATTATGGCCAGCTCTAGAAGAATCAGAAACTCTCTGTGCTCAATAGCAGTCAATGGAATTGTTAAGGAGGATCTTGTGGAGGTGAGGGCTGCAGTTCAACAGCATTTTATTAACCAATTTACTGAACCATGGTGCAATAGACCAAGGCTATCTGGGTCTTTCGTATCCATTGGGGATAGAGAAGCTGTTGAGCTCTTGGAAGCTGAGTTTTCGGAAAACGAGATTGTAGCTGCAGTTAAGAGTTGTGAAGGTAACAAAGCACCTGGACCTGATGGGTTTAATCTTATGATGTTTAAAAGTGTTGGAAGGTGATCAAGGTAGATGTGTTGCAATTCATGCAAGAATTCCATCAAAATGCAAAGCTGGTCAAAGGTATAAATAGTTCTTTTGTTGCTTTGATTGCGAAGAATGAGAACCCCTCTGGTTTGAATGATTACCGACCTATTAGTCTCATTGGCTCTTCGTATAAAATATTGGCAAAAGTATTAGCTAATAGAATCAAAACTGTGATGCTTAAAATTATTAGTGTTGCACAATCAACATTCATTAGGGGCAGAAACATCTTAGATGGGGTGTTGATAGCCAATGAGATTGTGGATGGATGGAAGAAAAATCGAAAGAGTGGCATTGTCCTAAAGTTGGACTTTGAAAGAGCTTATGATTCAATCAATTGGAATTTCTTATTTACTATGCTTTCAAATTTTGGTTTTGGGGTTAAATGGATTAGTTGGATGAGGGAGTGTGTCTCAACAGCCAGAGTTTCCATTTTGGTAAATGGTTCGCCAACCTTAGAATTTAGCTCGCAAAGGGGTCTTAGGCAAGGTGACCCTCTAGTCCCCTTCATTTTTAACATTGTGGCTGAGGGCCTGAATATCCTGCTGGAAAGAGCAAAACAGTTGGGGTTGATCAAAGGGGCAACTGTTGGTTCAAGTGCCTTTAGGATCTCTCACCTGCAATTCGCGGACGACACAATTCTATTCTGTGAAGCTCATTGGGGGGAGGTCAATAACTTAAAGAGGATTTTGAGATGGTTTGAAGTGTTGTCCGGACTAAAAATTAACTACCACAAGAGTGTCGTGTGTGGTGTTGGGTTAACAGTTGAAGCATCCAAGGAGTTTGCTGATAAGTTCAATTGTCTTCACTAAAGTTTGCCCCTAAAGTACTTAGGACTCCCTCTAGGTGCAAACCCAAGGAGAAAGAGGACTTGGCTGCCAGTGTTAGCCAAATGCAAACAAAGACTTTCCTCTTGGAAGAGAAGATTCATCTCCTTTGCTGGTAGGGTGACTTTGGTTAAATCTGTGTTGTCTAGCTTACCTATTTATTATTTATCTCTGTTCAAAATGCCAGCAGGGGTTGCTAAGGAATTTGTGTCTATTCAATCCAATTTTCTTTGGGGTGGGGATGGCTTTAGGAGGAAAATACATTTGGTCAAATGGAAGGAGATTTCTAAAAGCAAATAGCAGGGGGGTCTAGGGGTTAAAAGGATTAGACTCATGAATGAGTGCCTCTTATTGAAATGGTGGTGGAGGTTTGGGGCTGAATCTAATTGTAACAACCCTCATACTGTTTACTGATTAATGACTGATAATTGGACTGATTAAAGTACTGAACTGATTGACTGGAATCTGGAGTTAATTGACTGAGTCTATCTGTTTAATTGTGCATCTATCTGTTTGATTGATTATTTGATCTGTTCGTGTTTTACGTTCAAACTGCTAATTGAAGGCCTTGTCGGCGGCCGAACCGGGAATTGATTGATGTTTTAGGATCCTCATAATTAATGTGATTTTATGGTATAATTATCTGAAAACTGATTAGGTATGATTAAATTAGATTAATGGTGTTAAATTACATGAACTGGACTTATTACCAAATTGCCACCCTTAGTGGCCCACTCAATATAACACATTAGAGCCCTTGCATGCTTGAATCATGAATCAAAACATTTCATTAGTTCCTTCTCCTTGTTCAACCGGCCTTAGAGAGAGAGGAAGGGAGAGAGTTGAATTGTTCTAGTGAATTGGCTTGAATTGCTTGGAATTGAAGTGCAAATTGTCAAATTGGACACCTAAACCTTGAACACAAGACTAAGGTAGGACATTCATCTTCTTGTTGTTGTCATAGACTTGATTCTTGCATGATTCATGCTTCATTTATAGAGTTAAGCCATGTTTTAGTTCATACATGTACGATTAGAACATAATTCATGTATGCATGTTTGAATTGATGAGTTTGAGTTGAATCCATGGTGAAATGGAACATGCATGTTCATAATTTTGTTTTGATTGGTGGGTTGGTACAAGGCTGAAAAAACAAGAGAGGGTGATTTGGAAGGCCATGCCTCTGGCTGTGATTTGGTTAATCTGGAAATTAAGAAATGATTGTATCTTTAAGGGCATTCATCCAAATTTTGAGGAGCTGTGTGAGGTCATTAAAGTGCGAGTTGCGATGTGGTGCAAAGATGCTGGCTCTTTCTGCTCAGGTTATTCAGTAACTAATTTTGTGAATAATCTGCAATAAGTAAGGTTCTACAGTAGGGGTGTTGGCTGAGTTAAGCATTGGTGCGTGGGCAGCTGGTTTTGCTTAGTGTGAAGCTTGCTGCTGGGAGGGCTGTTGAGATGGGAACTGCTGGGTTGTTGGGAGGTCTGCTTTGGGTCTGTTCTGTTTTGCTCTGCTTAGGTAGTGGCAGTGATTTGCTGGGATTGTTTTTGCTTGGAGCAAGCATCTCTGGACTGCTCTCTTAGCAGAGGATTGTATTTCTACTCTAAGGCATTGGAATTGGTCTACATTGGTGAGGTCTGCTGGGTTTTTTGCTGCTGGGAGGGCTACATCTCTGGAATGTGGTTTGCATTGGTGTGTGGGCAACTGGTTTTGCTCAGTGTGAAGCTTGCTGCTGGGAGGGCTGCTGAGATGGGATCTGCTGGGTTGCTGGGAGGTCTGCTGGGATGGGAGATCTGCTGGGAGGCCTGCTCAGTGTGAGGTTGCTTTGGGCCTGTTCTGTTTTTCTCTGCTTAGGTAGTGGCAGTGATCTGCTGGGATTGTTTTTGCTTGGAACAAGCATCTATGGTCTGCTTTCTTAGCAGAGGATTGTATTTCTACTCTAAGGCATCAGATTGGGTTTGGGAGATGTATGCTTTGGTCAGTGACCTGTATATTGCTCTGGTTTTGCACTGGGGTGAGGTCTAGGATTTGAGAATGCAATGGACTTTGTTGGAAGCTGTGGGTTCTGTATGCACTGGACTGATGCAGAGGGAGTTTTGTGTGTTGGTTGTGAGAATGGTCTGCTGTTAGGCCAGCTGCTGTGATGGTGTATGTGGGTGGACTATTGCATTATTGCAGTGGGAGCCTGTCTGCAGAGGGGAGTTTGTCTTGGTGGATTGTTTTTGGTTTTTTCTATGTATTCTTGTGGTTGTTTTCTCTTCAACCTTGTGGTGTGCTGGCAAATGATTGGGCTGTCCTCACGGTGCCAACCTAGTTGGGATCGTGAGGTTTGCTTTGATGCCTTTTGCACTGCCTCTTCCTTTTTTGATGTAATTTCATTTTGACAATTTTCATCAATAAAGGGTTTTTTTTGCTGTTCAAAAAAAAAAAAATCATTACAGATTTCCTCATGAATGTAAAACTTGCGCTTATGAATTGTTGGCCTTGGAGGACGAAATGGGAACTGTGAATATTGGATTGAGCGACGTTGCTATTTTGGACGTTTTGAAGCAGCATAGTTATTAGTCAATGAAATTAGGACTTTCAGTGGAGGAGGAACCATGCTGTGTTTGTCGGGTAAAGAGCATTAAAGTTCTTCACCTCCGGGCTTTTATTTTTTTAGTTTCAAGCTTCCTATTAAACTATATGTTTCCATTTGTTGAATCGGATTGCAGGAAGAGTATGTTGATGGAGAGGAGCTCGGGAAGCTGGATTGTGGGCATGAATTTCACTTCAACTGTATCAAACAGTGGCTCATGTAGAAGAATTCCTGTCCCATCTACATAAGGACTGCACTGACTATTTGAGAGAGATCATTGGTTTCAAGGCACTCGAATCAAATGTCATATGCTGATTGGTTGATCGTCTAAGCTTCTTTGTATTTGTATTTTGCTTTAAAACTTACACCGTGTGCTTTCCTCCTCCCTCCATGAGACTGTTCATTTTTGTTAATATGCCACTTGTACCCGTTGGCCGTGGACTATGGCCAACGAATTGAGATTTTGGTTCACTTTTTAATTTTTTTTTTTTGGTTACAGTCAAAGATTAAAATAATATGAATAAAAGCGGTGCTCTAAAACAGCACTGCTGAGTTGGCAAATACTTTTAAAAAAATAAAAATAAAAATAAGACACAGGCAGTGGGCCCCGTTCGCTGCCACATTTTAGAGCACCACTTTTAGTGGTCTCAAGCATTATTGTTAAATATTTAAATCAACTTTATCCTTGTATCTCTGGGTTGGTTTGGTATCAACTTTTTTATTTTTATTTATTTTTAGGTTAAAGTTATTACTTAAAAATGGATATGCTAGCCAAATATTAAAAAATAGAATTTTACCACTAAATTTTTTTAGGTAACTGATATCTTTTTTATAAAAAACTTTACTTTATTGATCTGTGGAGGGCCTAAATTTTTTTTTTATACAAATTATGCATATTTTTTTAACACTTGTCAAATAGAAAAGAATCTTATTAAAAAATATAAATTATTTTTTCCTGTAATTTGTTAGTTAATTAAGCTAAATGTAGATGGACAAAATTATTTTTGCTTAATACAGTGAATATGAATATTTATCACGAGTAGGGTGTGTAAAAAAATTCTCAATTAGCATCGGCTGAAATTAACTTATGCGGTTTGAGAAGGTAAGTAGCTTGGGTTGAGCAGTACGTGCCATAAAAATTAGCGGTTAGGTTTGGTTTACATGTTAAAGGTTGTCAACTTTTCTAAAACTTTTTGAAATTTTTTTAAAGTTCAATAATAATAAAAAAAAACTAACAAAAAAGCAAACACAAAAACACTCACAAAATATGGGAGATTACCACGTGAACTTGCTGCGCACATTATCCTTTTAAAATATATTTAAATTTAATTTTTTTATATAACCAATTAATTTGTATAAAACATGATTCGAGTTTGATTTGTTTGGTTAGCACACATCACTCCCATGAGTAAAATGTTCTTTTACTTTGAAGTTTTTAACTTTTTAATGAGATGGGAAAAAAGTTAATATTTTTTTTAAATAATTTTGAATGAAAAAAATATCATTTAATATGAATAATATAATATTTTAAATTTTTTTTATAATTTTTAAAAATATTTTTAGCTATAAAAATCACAAACCAAACATCAAATCGTGAAAATCCTAAGAGTAATTTGTTAAAAAAAAAAAAAACCAAAATTGAAAAAGAAAAAGACAAAAAAAAGAAGCTGGGTGTGATGTGATGTGAGTGGTGCTTCGAAGAGATTAGCTCATGAGCCGCCACCACCCACCACCACCGCCGCCGCCACGACGAACCACCGCGAATCCCCCTTCGTCTCTCCCCTCTCTCTCGTTCTGCCCTCCCTCCCTCGCTCTCTCGATTTGCCATCTCTCTCTCTCTCTCTCTCCCTAACCCTAACCACCGCGGCGAGCCATAGCGGGGAAAGGATTGGGATGGTCGTGGACGATGGAGGAGGGTTTGGGGTGGTCGGGGGAACATGTAGAAGGGGTGACGGGCGTAAAAGAGGGCGGGGGAAAGGTTGGGGCGGTTAGAGGAGGAGGAGGGCAGGTGGTGGTTGAAATTTAGGGAATTAGGGTTTGAATGAGGAAGATGAGAGCATTTTGGTAATTTTATCGTAAGATGATTATAATAACAAAAATTCATTCACTTTGCTTGGTTTCCATTTTTTAAAAACAGTTTTTAGAAAATTCTACACTCTTATTTTTTATATTTTTTTATTTTTACTGAATTTTTTAAATATTTTATGCAAATTTTTTACTTTTTAGACACACCTAACATAAATACACCTAAAAAGTAAGGAATCCATCATAAAATATACAATTTCACTCAGATTGTTTCACCTATATTTTATGTGTTAATTCTGTGATCGGTTCTATATCCATAGGCTTATTGATATTTGTGGGGATGTATTTTCTGAATACCAACACGTGGCATGGTGACGCCGACGTGTCAGCCGAGGTGCCACGTGTCCTGGTAGTTAAGCCGAGATAATCTCGGAGAAGCCGAGGTTATCTCCGAAGATGTCGGAATCCGAGATAAGGGACAAGAGTCCTAAGACGGAGAGGGGACTTAACCAAGATAAGAATAAAACTCTTAGGGAGTTTATCTTTATCTCTTAAAGAATCCAAGTAAACATTGATATAAAGTTCATAGAAGTCATATTTCTATTGGGACTTGGATTGAGTATATTATAAAAGAGAGGCACCCTCATGGGTCTAAGGTATGCAATTTATGTTTTGAGTATTCAGTTTAGCACTTGATTATCTTTGAGAGATATACTGACTTGATCGTCGGAGTACCCCCGAGTGGAAGAACCACCGCCGGAGCTTTTTCTTTCTGTTACAGGTTGCTAAAGCCATCTATTCTGCCTGTGCTCTCCAGCTGATCACTAAACGGGCAGTGTGGTCAGATTTTCACCCACACAATTGGCCATATATATTCCAAGGCCCCCCAACCTAATTTGTAGTTCTTTTTTTTTAAATCTCTTTGTCAGCGGATCTGAGTTTTAAGGACAAATCATTTATTCAAGTAGCTCTTTGGCTATTGTGTAGCCTTTTCATATTTATTTATTCTCAGTATGGAGTGTGGGGGTGAGGTTTAGGATCGGTTTTGTCCACTTTTTCCTTTGTAGGACATCCTTGTTTGCTCTCTTTATTAATCAACCACATTTATGGGTAACTCATTTTCAGGTTGTTAAACTGAAGATTTCGTATGTTTAATCAACATCCAAAACAAAAAAACCTAGAGCAAACATATAATAACGAATGTGAAATTGTAACCAAGTGTAGTTGTTGCTTTGAATCCACTGATTTCTGCTGCTTCCGTTATTGCCGCTGGATTGGCCATAGGACTTGCTTCTGTTGGACCTGGAGTTGGTCAAGGTACTGCGGTGCGACAAGCTGTAGAAGGTATTGCAAGACAGCCTGAGGTGGAGGGGAAAATATGAGGTAATTTATTGCTTAGTTTGGCTTTTATGGAATCTTTAACAATTTATGGGCAGATTGTTGCATTAGAACTTTTATTTGCAAATCATTTTGTTTAATCCTAGAAATATGAAAAATACATGTTTTTTTATATTCTATCTATGCATGTATAAAAGTTGAGAGATGGATTTTTGAAATTTGTGGTGGCATTTTATTTAATGAATTCACATTGATGATTTAGTTGCCTTGCATGCATAATGCACCCATTTTCCCATTAAAATTTTTATTGTTCTATATTTAAGGTTAGACCATTGAAAATAATGAGGAAGGAAATCACTTCTTCAAAAATTGCTAATTTTATTTATGTGGTTGGGTGGGTGTACATGCTAATCCATCAAAGCAAAGGTTGATCATTCAATCAGTTATCGATGATTATTGATGTGAACCTTTGATGCATCAAGGAATCAACTCCCTCATATTCATATGGATTTGAGTCATTGATGCATCAGTATTTTATGATTATGTCCTTAAAATTCGTTAAATGCTTAATGGAGGAGATTAGAAAACACTAAATGGAGGAGATTAGAACATGAGCAAGTGTACACTTCAGTGCACATTTTTAGTTGTCGTTTCTATTGTTTGTTTTTGGGTTTTTTTTAATGATGCATGTTGTAATATATTTATAGTTTTAAGCGTAAATTATATTAGTTTTTGTAGATCAAGCGAAAGGTCACTTTAATTCTCGTAATTTTAATTTGAACAATTTGAACTGCATACCTTTAGTTTTGTTGCAAAAATGTTCTTTTGCCACTTACTGTTAGAATTTTGAATGAAAAAAGACCACATGCGACTCATGTGGGAAATTTAGCTATTTCCACAAAGAAAAAAAAGAAGATAAAACTACACTGGTGGTCCCTATCAGTGTGTTTGGTTTCAATTTTCTGGATTCAATTTTCTGAAAATTAAGTTTTTTATTTTTTATTTTTTGTATTTTTATTTGTTTTTAGTGAATTTTTTTTAAAAAATTTTAAGCAATTTTTAGTAATTTTTTTACTTTTTTAGATGCACATTACTTAAATGTATCTAAAAAGTAAAATATTTGTAAAAAAATATTTTAAAAAATAAATAAATACACAAGAATACAAAAAATGTATTAAATTTTTGTTTTTGTTTTTATTTTTTGTATTTTTGATATTTAGTGAATTTTCTAAAGATTTTTTTTACAAATATTATACTTTTTAAGTGTATTTATGTTAGGTACATCTAAAAATTAAAAAAATTGCTTAGAATATTAAAAAAAATAGTAAAAACAAAAAAAAGTACGGAAAACAAAAAAAAAATTAATTTTTTAAAAAGTGAATTATGAAAAACCAAACCAAACAAGCTGTATAATTTTTTTTTTTTTTGAAATTCCACTTTGATTCTTTTAGTTTTGCATGTGTTTTCTATCCAAAACGTCTAGTTTACAAGAATCACTGTCGACTTTAGCTTCCTTGGCCCCACTCATTTCCCTTCACAAAACTCTCTATAGTGGGTTAGAAAGAAACAGATAGAGAGAGAGGCAGAGAGAGTTGGAGGACGAGAGGTGCTTTGTGAATTTTTTGATTCTATTGTTTCTGCTACACATCTATTTATCTTGAATTTGTGTGAAGCTTTTGGATAATAATCTAGATGCATGTTGTAATATATTTATAGTTTTAAGCGTAAATTATATTAGTTTTTGTAGATTAAGCGAAGGTCACTTTAATTCTCGTAATTTTAATTTGAATAATTTGAGCTACATACCTTTAGTTTTGTCGCAAAAAGGTTCTTTTGCCACTTACTGTTATAATTTTGAATTGAAAAAAGACCACATGCGACTCATGTGGGAAATTTAGCTATTTCCACAAAGAAAAAAAAGAAGATAAAACTACACTGGTGGTCTCTATCAGTGTGTTTGGTTTCAATTTTCTGGATTCAATTTTTTAAAAATTAAGTTTTTTATTTTTTGTATTTTTATTTGTTTTTAGTGATTTTTTTAATAAAAA